AAAGTTACTTCTTTTATAATGCTTGTAAAATACATATGCAAAAATACTAAAAAAATTAAATTTGAATAAAAGAAGGAAGAAAGAAAGGAGGGAGGGAAAGAAGAGAGAAGACCGGATGGAGGAAGGGAAAGAGGAAAGAAAGAAAAAAAAGGAAAACAAAAATGGGTATGAAATCCAGGAAAATTAGCTTCAGTATAATTTCATATGTGAAATAATGCCCCAGGGTCTGAAGTTGAGGCTACATTTGGTTGGTAAACTTTGTGGATGATTTCTTTACTCTGAGAGTAATCTAATTTTAGAAACATATAACTGATATAGCATAAGAAAACTGCCTTAAACACACGATTTACTTTGTGGTATTGCCTCACGCTTTCTTTTATTCCTGTAAGATATTCTCATTCTTGTATACGATTATGCTGAGTTTTGAACTACAAGGATTACATTTTTGTTACTTACTCATAGTCATACATAAATTATGTGTTAAGTAGTTATGTTTGAGGGTATCCAAGAATGCAAACATCCTCTAGAAGATATGATTTTTATTTTATAAGCTTATTACTTCAAGCAGGATAATAGGCCTAATGCCTAGGGAATTAAGACTGGGCAATAGTGATTTGTTTGAGGCTTTTGCTGCAGTGTAAAGATTTATGTGGTTAAAGATAATACCTGGAACCTAAAGGGTTGTAGAAAATGTGTAGGGCAGGGGTTGTACTACTACAATCAACAAAACAAAACTACACAAGTACAGCGTGGAGGAAGCAAGCTTAGCAGTGGTGTACATGAGAAAGACTCAAGGGTATTAGAGCATATAAGTCAACAGTGTGAAATAAATTCTGAAACTATTTTGATTTTGAGGTGTACTAATATAATAACTAGAACAAAAGAGACAAGAATTTATTCTGTGCTGAGCATTGTGGAGTTCAAATATAGGGACACATTCAGAAAAGAGCAGCTGGCATGGTGAGAGATTTTTGTGTGGAGAATAGCAGAAGAAACAAGTGATTATGATTTAGAGAAACGAAGACTTGAGCTTGATCACTGTAATAGTTATGTTTTCCTTTGCAAGTAAAAGACAAAACAACTCAAACTGGTTTTAAATAACAACGGTCATTTATGGGCTCATGTAACTCAGAAGTTCAGAGACAAGTTGGATTTTAGGTGAGGTTCAATCTAGTGGTCTGGTTAATCTTTCTCTCTACTTTGACTTGTGCAGTCTTGGCCAAATTGGCTGCCACCCTCTGCAATCTTTGGACCAAGATATCTGCTGGCAATGACCAGGGCTATGTGCTTTTTTATATCAAGTGAAACATTTTTCCTCTAATAGCTCATTGGAAGAAGGAATTTTCTTTTCTTAAATCCCTTGGAAATATCTCTTGTATCTATCTCATTAGCCAGTGTTGTGACACATGCCAGTCTCTGAACAAATTATAGAAACCATGGGAATCATGTGTGCAGATTAGCTTAGCTAATCAGAAATGTACTCCTCGAGCTGAGATATCACATCTGTTAGGATTCTCAGGAGAAACAGAACCAGTAGGAGATACATACACACACACTTTCAAGTATATGTGTGTGTGTGTATATATATAAAAAGAGATTTATCTCAAGGAATTGACTCGCATGATTGTGGGGACTGGCAACTCTGAAATGGTAGGGCAGGCCAATAGGCTGGAAACTGTGATAGGAGCTGCTATTGCAGTCTTGAGATAGAACTTCTTCTTACTCTGGAAACCTCATTTTTGCTCATAAGGCCTTTCATCTGATTGGATGACGCACACTGGCATTACTGAAGGTAACATCCTTTACTTAAAGTGAACTGATTTTAATGTGAACCACATCTACAGAAACCTTCACAGCAACACCTAGATTAGTGTTTGATTAAATAACTGGGTACTACAGCCTAGTCAGTTTGACATATAAACCATCATAGATATGATTGGTCTCTCCCAAAGTACATGACTGAAATTTTGAGGTCCTGTTGGAATAGAGAGACTGGCAACTATCCCTTACAATAGCTAACAATAGATAAATGAAAGGTTGCCATGGGTTTTTACTTGTTTTACATGGACTGATACCAGGGACAAAAGTTCTAGAAATAGTGAGGAGATAGCCATCAACTTAACTGAAAAACAACTGTCTTGGGAGAGGGTATAGCTCAAGTGGTAGACCATATGCTTAGCATGCACAGGGTCCTGAGTTCAATCCCCAGTACCTCCTCTAAAAAAATTAAAAATAAATAGACCTAATTACCCCCCCACCAAAAAATAAAAAAATAGAACTATAAACCACTGTCTTAAAAAAAAAAACCATAGTGAATTCTTATTACTGGAAATGTTCAAACACGTACTAGGTGAAAGGTCTAACACTTAAGCCCAAAGTTCTGTGTTCTTGACATCTGGGGAAAACTGGGAGAACCTCGAACGGCCTATCTGCAAGTTCTCCACACTATGTTTCCACAGAGAAGCTTCCTAGCCAAACACCCCTCCTTATTAAATGGATCAGGCACAATACCTGCTGATCCCTGAGTAGCAGGGTTCAGTTCCCTGCCAGCCCATGGAATTACTTAAACAAGCCAATACATCCTTTCATGAGCATGGGGCACCCCACCCTCTTGATACTATAAAATCTGCTTCCCACATCCTCTGTTTGTCTACTCTGTTCCTAAGTGTGGCACCCAAGTAGCATGCATGGTACGTGGTGCCCTCCTCCCCTGGACTGTGAGAAATAGGTAATTAGTAAACTCCTGTCAATCTCATCTGTCCAGTGTCAGGTGTCATGTGTTAGCTCAACCATTTCCATGATCTTAGAGTGGGACTCCCTTCCTTCCTCACTGAGGTGAATGAAAAGTGATTAAAACAATGGCTCTTTTCCCCCTCCTCTCCCAGCAGTGACGGTGGAGAGGGAAAAGTTTCAAACATCAGTTAAATGATTAGAAAATAATATTAGTGAGTTGCCTTCCAATCCCAAGAGCCTACTATTTCTGTTTTCAGTGCCAGGATTAAGATTCATTTTATATTTTCCAAATACAAGCATAGCAATTTCTGTCTTTCTCTCCTATAAGCACCCATCAGGTTGTTTTGCAAACTATTTATTTATACATCTCTCCCTCTCAGCTCAAAGCTCCCAAGCCATGCGTTATTAATCTGTATGTACCTCAGACTAGCATAATGCCTGACACGTAGCAGATATTCAATAAATATTTGGTGAGTGAATCCAAAAATCACTTTCTCCTTCAGAATTTGAGAAAAAATTACCAATGAGCTGTGAAGTTCTCCTTAAACAACATAACATGTAAGTCAATAGCATAAATATAAATTCCCCAGCACTGTTGAATTCCACACTCCACACACCTGCAGATAGAGGGAATGAGGTCTTGGGAGTGTTGCCCAGCTTTGCTCTTCTCATTCCCTTTCCAAAATGTATGCCAGTTGCCTTAAGGCTTCTGAAGAACCCCGAAGGCAGCATCTCACTTTGTGTAGGAAGGAGAATTAATATAGCTGTAAGGTGATCCCAACTCCTTGCCTGTCTGTTGATTCTGAATGCTCCATTCACTTCAAAATCCCTGCTGAGAGCTAAAACATTGCTTCTGCAAGAAGGCATTTATTTTAAGCATAGTTTCATTCTTCAAGTGTACAGCTGCATGGTACCCCTATCCTAAATTATGTGAAAAAATAGAGAAAGCTGAAATGGTTGTCTTGAAGGTGTTTGCCATATCTTTTTTCCTGTGATTTCTGTTTTATTACTTATTTTATTTAAATTCGTTTGCTCATTTATTTTTTTCCAATTTTATTGAGATAATAACATATAACACTGTATAAGTTTAAGGTGTACAGCGTGATGATTTGACTTACGTATATTAGGAAATGATTACCACAATGCTTAATTCACACCCATCATCTCATATAAATAGAAAAAAGAAAAAGAAATGTTTTTTTCCTTGTGACAGTAACTCTCAGGATTTGTTCTCTTAACGACTTTCATGTATACCCCACAGTAGTGTTAACTTTAGTCATCATATTGTATATTGTACATTACATCCCCAGTACTTATTTACCTTATTTATCTGGAAGTTTGTACCTTCTGGCCACCTTCATTCAGTTCCCCTTTCCTCATCCTCCAACTCTGGTAACCACAAATCTGATCTCTTTTTTTATGAGTATATATTTCTCTCTCTCTCTTTCTCTTTACGATTTCACATATAAGTGAAATCATACAATATTTGTCTTTCTCTGTCTGACTTTTTTCACTTAACATAATGCCCTCCAAGTCCATCCATGTTGTCACAAATGGCAAGATTTTCTTCTTTTTTTATGACTAAATAATATTTTGTTTTATATGTATGTATATATGTGTATATATATCTAAATTTCCTAGGTTCATTTTCCATTCATCCATTGGTGGGCACTTAGGTTGTTTTCATGTCTAGGCTATTGTAAATAATGCTGTTACAAACATGAGGGTGCAGGTATTGATTCAGCATAGTGTTCTTGTTTCTTTTGGATGTATTTCCAGAAGTGGAATTGCTGGATTATATGGTAGTTCTATTTTTAAGTTTTTGAGAAACTTCTACACTTTTCTCTATAGTGGCTATACCAGTTTACACTCCCACCAACGGTGCATGAGAGTTTATTCTTTTGATAGACTGGCCTGTTTCTTTTCCTGGCCTATAGATTTAAGAATTTTTTTTTAAGAAAAAATTAGAGTACTGGTTTGACAAGGGAATTTTTCTAATTCATGAATTTATTATATACCTTCATAAAGTTATAAAATAAATTGTGTTTATTAGCAAGAATAAAATCACATTAAATCGCCTCTGGTGTTAAAACCGAAGACGTAGAGTTGCATATCCGTATGTCTTTATATAGTACAAAGCCTGTGGTTAGTAAATACATGTTGGTTAAATAAACTAATAATAGAATGTGCTCCCCTACATTGATCCTAGACCTTTAAGAAAGACATCAATATAACAGAAGTGTTTTTTCCATCTCCTGGGTCTCCAGTAAACAGATTCGAGCCATCCTAGGCCAGTTCAGCGAGGCAGAAGCCTTACTAATCAAAGCTGGAGTGCAGCCAGAGACTTTGGATGGAGTCCTTTTGGATCTTGGGTGTTCCTCCATGCAACTTGATGCCCCTGAAAGAGGTTTTTCCCTTCGGAAGGATGGTCCCTTGGACATGAGAATGGATGGTGACAGGTGGGTATTGATAAAGCATTTCTTCTCACAACAAGAAATCAATTTCTCGAAAACACTCTGAATTTAATTTCCTTTTAAGACTGCAGAATTCCCATCACACGCCCACACCTAACACTATCCATACATAATAAATCAGTTTTGTTTGCTACTCATTATAGACTTTGGTGTTTCTCTAGATTTAGGGTTCTAAAAAGAAAAATTATTCTGTCTTTACACAGAATATTGAAGAGGATAACTTTCACACTGGTTTTCTTTTTTACAGATACAATGTGATCTTTTAGACTACTAACAATATTGTAAATATGATACTGAAACAATGCTTCCATTTTTATGCAGGCCCACCTATGCCTCTTTTGAGAAGTGAAAGGAACTATATTTAATGCGTATTCTTTTGAATACTGCATTAAAGGCAAGATCTTAGAGGTCAGCGATTCTGTGTTTTGTCCTGTTTCTTATACAGACACTTAGGTTCAACCTTCTCCTTCTCTAGAGAAACTAGAATTTAAGGTATATCAGACATAATACGTGTATTAGACAGCTTTACACCTCCTATTCATTCCTCTCCACCCTGGAAACACATTTGTTCTCCGTTATTCAAATAGGTAATATGTATTAAATTACACAAAGAGGGTCACTCTCTAGGAAAGCATAGGATAATTTCTTTTAAATCTAAATTGGTTTTAAAAGCTCAGATTATCACTTATCTCTATGCCCAACACTGGCCCAGGGACTGAATAGCTTGTACCTACAAAACAGAGCTTAACCATGCTTTTCTCTCTCATTTTATGCCCCCTGTCCTCCACCAAATTATTATCATAGGCCCTACCTTTGGAAAGCTACTTTCTAAGAAGAACATTAGACTTTCTTATATCTAAATTTGCAATCTGTTCTGTTACTAATCTGCATTTCTAGACATGCACAAACATTTCTATTGAAACAAAGAGGTTTTCCAACATTTCTTCCAATCTGTCAGAGGAACTATATATAAGAAATTTAATGTCTCATTTAAGTCAGCAATTTAATATTGAGTTGACTTTGAGTTTTTTCCCCCACACACTTCTTTGTCTCATGGTAATTATTCGCATATAGCCTTTCCCCCATCTTTTGATACGACTTGTTAACTTTGAGTGTGACCTGTACTTGTTGGAACCTTTTTATTCTGAGTCTTATACCTTCTTTCACACAAATTGGCATTCATAGAGTGAAGAATGTGATCATAAAAGAAAATAATAAAAGTCCTTTAAAGACCAGTGACTAACAGTAAAGGTCAAATATCTTCTCATGTTTGGAGATTGAGGTTGTTGTGCAGAGGTAATAAAATGTCAAGCAAATTTCTGCTGTTCCTATGTCTTGCTAAGAAAGATGCCTTCTGAAATACAGTGACCAAAGCTTCTAGTTAATAGTAGTAAGTCCCCATATTGTTAATGTAAAGACTTAACAGCAGAGTGTGTGAGGGTTCCTGAGGTTCTCCCCTAAGAACATACAAATAAGAGTACCCTTGAGAATTAAACTGTTAAGTCATTACATAATGGATAAGATTGGTGTTGAGCAAATATATCTTAAAAAGCAGGATGGCTTCCAAATATCATAGACTGTAACCTAATCAGAGATGTTAACAGATCTGAAGAAACTACATGACATTCAGAAGGGAGGAGCTGGTTCACATGAATTCACAGAAAAAGGAAAGTGAGAGATGCAAATATGTCCGGTGCTAACCTAAGTGGTGTTATGGGGAGAGGAAATCCAAGCCAAAAAATGTGACCAGTCAGATCTGGGAAGCTGATACTTCCCTGTGATGAAGATGGATGCAAGAGCCTTTCTTAGCCCATTACCGTTGACCCCTGGAATCTTACAGCATAGTTTATTCTGTACTATCCCAATTTCAACACCAGCTTTCAGATTATAATAAAGCTCTCATGTAGCAGAAAGAAGTTCTCATCTTCAAGGACTTGTGTGTCTAGCTCTGTTGTCAGTTATGTTCTTCACTAGAAGGTAATAAATAAATTGCCACTTATGTTAATATTTTCTTTCTCTCATGAGTGTAGTCATTTGTAAGCTGGTGATCTCTGGAGGACTGAGAAGATCAATTAACTGTTAATTTGGAGGGGCAGATTTTGACTCCTTGAGTTTTGTACTATATAAATGCCTATCTGAAGCCTCCTAGCAGCCTGTTGGCTTTCCAGAGTTTTCCCTCAAAGCGCTATGGAAACTTCTACAGTGTTGTTAATGTTAACATGAGAGTAAAATAAAATTATGCCTATTATCCACTGAACTATACTTGAGCAAAATGCTCTTTTAATTTTTTTCGCTGAAAAATATAAAGGTATTATTTTTAAAAAGCTGCTAATTACATCCATACTAATCTTAGAATTGTCCTGGTAGAACTGGACTATATCCTGTGAATCTGAATTTATCATCACTTCTAACAAGGTTCATTCTGATGCTCAGTGCTTTGGGCTGTTGAATTAGCAGCTAGATAAGATCTAGCAGGGATTTTGTCAGTTAGGCCAAGAGTGACGATTGGCTTATCTAGGAATGGACAAGATCTAAAGGACATTGACATTCATTGATTTCTCTGTGCCAAGTCTACTATGTATTTTATGATTGCACTAACCCTTAATTCTCTCAACAATTTTGTGAGGCAGACTTTGTTACTTTCATTTTACAGGTTAGAAATTGAGGCTCCAATAGATTCAGAAGTTTATACAATATGAGTAGTAAGGCCATGATTCTAATCTAATTTGATCTGATTCTAAAGACCAGTCTTTATCCTTAAAGCTGTTATTGAAGGAGAAAAGCCTATCAAGATGGAAACAGGGTACCTTTTAACATGTTCATTGATCTGGGGGTACCATGCTAGCCAGGAAAAAAAAAGAAAGAATCACAGGATCTGGAAAATAAGGTTTCACACACACACACACACACACACTTTAGAGGGAGGAAGAGAGAGAGTGATATGCAGGTCATGGCAAAATAGGGGACAAGCCAAGGACAACAACAGAATTTTCCCCTGGAGGCACTAGGCATGTTAATAAGGTGCAGTATAGTACTTTCAAGGAGGGATTCAGGTGTTGCTTGGCAAGCCCACTCTGATTTAATGCTCAGACCTTAAAGCTACCATATCCTTGTTACCTAAAGTCATCCCAGTGTGGTACCAACAATCAATCCAACATATTAACTACAAGAGAGGTAACTGTACTGTTAGCAAAGATGTCTTTCTAATAAGTAAGATCTCAGTTAGCTCATGACTTCTAATTCCTTGACCCATTTCCCTAAAGTAAGGTAAACTGGAACGGTCTGACACAGTGAATGCTATTTCCTGTTACTATGATTTATTCTGTTTGACCAGAAGTTGGTATTTATTTTCTCCTCCACCTGAAATCATCATCTAGGCCTGTTTAGTACTGTTTATTGATTACCAGGTTTTACCCCATGGTGACTATAGTCATGGATATATAAGGTAATGTTGTTAACAATTTGAAATAATGTATGTTATTACCATTAAGGTTGTTGTAGTTTTTGTGAGGGAAACTGACCAGCAGTGTCTTGTGTAGACTTTCTAAATTCAATTCGTGACCTCATGTAAGTAGTCAGTTATATTACAGTCAGTCTTAAATTCCTGAGATCTGGGCTTATTTAAATATCAGTCAGCCTTGGATCTTCTACAGTAGAGAAAAAATATTCAAACAGTAATTTAACTTTTGAACAAACTAAATCCACAACACTTCTCAATATTTTAGTTTAGGGGAAATCTGCATGTGCAATAATGACTTCCTTCTGAATTAAGGCTAGTAAAATATTTTATCTTCCTGCTGCCCTTGACCTTGATGAATGTAACACAGCCCCACTTTGCCATAATGATAGGTATTTCAAATGGAAAATCTATTTCATTTGTGTAAGATTTCAGCCTGTGACTTTAAAAACCTTAGAAGCCCTCTTAGACTATGTGTGTATGCCTGACTTATGTCTCAGGACTCTGAAGTTTCACCTCTTGTCAATGAAAACTGACGTCAGTGAACTAATTGGCTCTTCTTGTGCGTAGGTACCCTGACATGCCCACCGCAGCTGATGTTGTGAATGCTTTAGATCAACAGGCGCTTGCATCCATCCTGAGAACATACGGGGAGGAGAAGCACGCCAAGAAAATCGCTTCAGCAATCGTTCAGGCACGCAGCATCTACCCCATCACCAGGACGCAGCAGCTTGCCAGCATCGTTGCAGGTACCCTCATTAATTCTGAGCAGTGTCTGAGAGAAATATATATATGTGTGTATGTGTGTGTGTGTGTGTGTGTGTGTGTGTGTGTGTGTGTGTGTGTGTGTGTGTGTGTGTGTGTGTATGTATATGTATATATATAAATCCCCCAAACTCCCAAAGGGATTCATTTATACTTGAAGTCATGAAGGATAGAATCTTGCCTATCCTTCTCTTATGCCAGCTTTGGTTTTGCAAGCTTTCCCCCTTAACACCTCTCCTCCACACACAATTTTTTAAAAATATACTGTAGTTTGCTGATTAATTTAATATTAGATTTTTTTTTCTTTTCTGCATGATGTGATTTATCATTTGTGCCTACCCAGGTGAAACGTGGAATGACAAGAGCAGAATTTCTTAGTCCATCACAGTGGTTGATAAGCATCCTGTATAAGATCTGACATTACCTCTCTTAGTTTCACATTTCTGCATTTTAATATTTTGGGCAAAAGGAGAATTGCATTGCCCAATTGCTAAAATAAAATCCAATGACTCATACATCTATTCTAAACAACCAGCTAACAAAGGGTATGTGATGTATAGGTTATTCCACTTTGTGAATGCTAACTAAATCAGCCTGAGGGGCTTATTGAAACATTTCATCTTTTCTGCTGCTCGCCACCATAAACCTCTTGAACCTAAGTCTAGCTAGGAGGCGCATTATTATAGCCTTTCTGTTTGAAGCCAAAGTTGTTTCACAGCTGTGTTCCATGATGAAAGTTTTCCAAGGCAAAAATATAACTCCTGCAGTTATTTAACAGAATTCCAATGGTAAATTCTTCATCTTGTTGGACCATCTGAAACCCTACATCATTTTTATTTACCAAATGTAACAAGTTTTCTTTCAATAGCTCCTATTAAGTTACTTTAAGTAGCTAAAGAAGTAGAACAAAAGGAATGTTTCTGTAGCTTATAAAAAGAACCTAATATTGGTTGCTTCTGTCTTAATATTATGCATAGTTTAAGGAATAAAACTTAATAATAAATTCATAATTTAATAAGGTTATATTCTACTTAGTTATTAATAATAAAATAAAGAGTTGACCACGTCTTTACTTTTTAAGCTAGATACCTCAAGGCACTTCCAACTTACCACTGAGATTCCTTTTGGCAAGTAAAAGTAAAATTCTTGTAGGCTATGTGAGCATAAAATACTCCATGATTTTCTTCCCCAAAAGAGATTACTTTAGCAGGCTGACATCACATTTACCCACTATTTTGTGTCACTTTCTTCCTTCCCACTCCATACTCAGTAACACATCTCCACCTTATCCTTTCTGTCATTCTTTAACTAGCTGTGTTCTCTGTGTTCCATTTTGGAAAGAAGAACAGTGAGAAGTCACATTTTTTATGCAAAAGAAAATCCAGAATTTTCTAGTGCTGAAAATGAGGACTCAGAGCTAGAGGGCATCCTAGGGATCATCCTGTCAAAAAACCTCGTCTAATAACCGAAGGTACTGAGGCTCAGGGAGGGTCAGCTGTTTCCTAATGGGGACAGATCATCAATGGCAACATCAAAACTAATCTAGAATTTGAAAGTTCATGAGCTTGAAGCATACCTTGAGCTTGAGAATCTACCTTAAAGAAATTAAGCTGATTTTTCTGTCTCAGAACCCTAATCTGCAAACTTGGGGAAATAACACAGTGGTATTAGATAGAAATTATATGAAGATATAGCATATGAACAACTGAAGTATCTTCAGAAAGATTATATTGTGAAAAACATATTAGCACTATGACTAGTGATATACTAAAAATGAGAATATTCATATATGCATAGGTAAAACACCATTTTAGT